GGTATTTTTGGTATATCATCCAATGTTGGGTTATACTCTTCTTGTGGTAACATCTTCTTTTCTTCTGAACTTTTGAGTTGTTTTATTTCCCACTGTTGTGGTATGTTATTTTCTCCTGTTTTTGTTGAGCTATCCCAAGTTTTCTTTGTATCATTTTCATCAACTTTTGGTTCAACATCTTTGTATCTTAACACTTTTTCATCCCCTCCACTTCTTATTTCTGTGTTGCTATCTTTTCTTGTTTTTATGACAGTGTTGTTTCTTCTTTTTTCTTCTTCATTTCTATAAATAATTGAGTCCCAGAATTGTATTTTTAACCTATTCCATTTCTTTTGTTCTTCTTCTTGTTCTTTTTTTCTAGCATCATCTAATATTTTATTTTCTTCAGTAACTTTACGTAATTGCTCTGGCTCAATTATTTTTATTTGTGATAATCTTTCTATTAGCTTTTTTTTATCATCTTCTTGTAAAGCACTAAGTCCAACTATTAATGTTTTGGTACTCTTTTTTTTTACTGTTTTTTTATGTTTTTTGTTGTTAGCTTTTTTAGTGGACGTCAAATCAATACACTCTTCACCAATTGCCTCTTTGGTTTCTAATAGTTTTGTTGGTTTAATCTCACTTTCAGAGATTGGTTGATCAATTTCTTTTTGTTGATTTACCTTTTTTAAATGAATTTTTTTTGCAATACCTTCTTTTGTTTTTTTTTCCTGTATTGTTTGGGAGTCTTTATTTTCTTTTTTTAACTCAGAAACTTTCTTTTTAACACTATGATTTATTTTCTTTTTAGTTTCACTGATTTGCGTTGTTTTCTGAGTTTTGTTTTCTGAGTTGTTTATTAGAGATTGGTTAGGAGGATTATTTACATTTTCTCCAAAAGGAGAAAGAAGTCCTTGAGATTCAGTTTCTGGTGGTTTAGAGTATTCTTGAGGTTTAATGTTTAATGAGTCTTCAATTAATTTTTTATGAATTGAATGACTAGTTTTTCTTATTCCATGCTTAATATTATTTGAGTTTAGTTGATTAGCAATAATATCATCAATAACCTTATTTTGGTTCCATCCAAAAAATTCTTGTGTAATATCTCTAAATAACTTTTTATCAATGGTTAAGTCAATTGGTGGACTTTTTCGTTCTTCAATAAATGGAATATCTATTTGTTGATCAGTACTATTATCTGATTCGTTTGTTTGTTTCTCTTCATTAAATGAAGTATCTTCATGTTGTTCTTTTTTACTTCTTTCAAGTTTTTTTATTATTTTGTTTATAGTCTCATTTCCATCATTTATTTGTGTATTTGTATGTTCTTTTTGTTGTCCATCTTCATATCTTGTTGTTTCATCTTCTTGTGTTATTGTTTTATCTTCTTGTGTTATTGTTTCATCTTCTTGTGTTATTGTTTCATCTTCATATGTTATTGGCTTTTCTTTTTTTAATGAGCCAGTCTTTTTATTGTTATCTACCATACTTGTCTTATGTGTTTGTTTTTTTATAACACTTTTACTAATAGTCTCTGTTTGTAGAGGAGTAACAGCGTTTTCTAACATTTTTTGCGTAAATGGACTATCGAGTTGATGTGAATCAAGTTGGTATTTTCCTAGTTGTGGAGTTATATCAGAGTTAGCTAAAGGTTTAATAGGTTGAGTGGATAGAAATGGCATTTTGTTTTTAGGAAAGATAATTGAAGAAGAGCGAGGACTAAGTTTTTTTTTTACCTCAACATTATTATTTTCTTCACTTTTTTTTCTTTTAACTAAATTACTACTGTGTCTTTCCAATAAATTTTCTTCAAACTCCTCTGATGGATAAGTAAAAGATGGTTGATCCAATTCTGGTTTTTGTTCAACCTCAATACTATTAGAAACATTATCCCCTAAGAACATTTCGTATAATTTATTTCTTCGTTTTTCATCACGAATAACATTAAGAGAAAAAGAGTTATGTGGAAGACGAACACCTAAATTACTCTTCATTAAACCAGCAACTTCTTTATTTATTTGAAGTAATAGTTCATAAGGAAATCCAAGTTTTGAAGATAAAAGTTTAGCTAATTTGGTATTTGAACAAACACCACCTTCTTTATCACTAATAGTTAATATAATGTTTTCTATTAAATCATCAAAAAAGTCTTTAATTTCTTTTTTTCTTTCTTTTGGAATATCAAATTCATTAAAGACATCATCCAATTCTCCAGGAATGTCGTCTAATGACAAAACACCGGTATTAATATTTTCAATAACATTTCTTGTTTTTATTTCTTCTTCCTCTTCTATTTCTTCACCATTTTCAAGTATTGGATTAACAGGTCCATACAAGTCATTTATTACTTCATCTGTGAGTGGTATTTTATTAAGTGGCATTTTATTAGAACATTCTTCTACAAGTTTTTTTAATCTAATGATGTCATGTTGCTCAAATTCACTTTCTTCTTTTCCTGTTCCAGCTTTTTCCATAAGATAAAGTTCTTTTTCTATTTGTTTTGGACATCTTATTTCGACGTCATCTTTTATTTCAAGAAAATCATCACTAATTTCTTTTTTTAATGGTTTCTTATAATTATCTTCTACAACCATTGTAAGTATTCCAGGAATTTCTTTTGTATTTGTAGAGATTAACCTATGTGTTGGAACTGGATTTATTTCCTTTACTACTTCTTCCTCTGTTGACTCAGAAAAATCCATTTAAATGAACCAGTTCTAATAAACTCTTTCATTTTATTCATTCAATAAGTTTTAATTTATGTGTTAGTTTCTTTATTATTTTTTATTACTTTCCTTTTTCTTTTTTTTTTCAACTTTTTTATCTAATAACAAAAATGAAATTTTATGTTTTTCTCTTTCTTCTTGTTTTTATAAATAATTCTAATATTGTTTGTTGTGTCACATATTCTTCATCTCATTCTCTTAATAAAAGAATTTTTTGAATAGTATTGATCAAATAAAATATAGAATAAAAGAATATGTCAATAAATATTCAGTTAGTAATGTTACAGTTAACAAAATTATTGACCAAACTCTTAATACAACTAACTCAAAAATAATGAATAAAAGAAGTTATGTATAGAAATAGAAATGAATAATACTGAAAATTTTGAATTTGAAATAGAAAATGAAAGAAATAATATTTATATCATTTATATTGCATTAAAAGCTTACACAATCTATAAAATGAATATCAGTATTGCCTTAAAACTAAATTCATTTTTATTCCTTTTGAATTAAAAAGTAAATAATCAAACAATATGTAAAATTAACAAAAAACATTGAACCAAATTTATTCAGTCATCTATTGATTTAATATGTTAAAATAAAGAGATTTATCAACAATCAATACATTTTATTGATTATTTTGATTCATTCAAATTAATTTCTATTTATGGATATGATGAAGATATAACTTCAAAAAAACCTCTGTAAGTTTATTCCTATTCTCGTAGAGTCTTTACAAAAACATATTACAATAAAATAAAAGAATATTATATTAAAAATATATCAAAAAGTATTATCTTTTGCCAATATCCATATTCAAATTTTACTCTTTCCATTAACTCAAAGCCTCAAACACATTATGTTATAAAGTTAAAACAAAATCCACTAATGTTTTAATTTATTTTTAAATCTTTTTTATATTCAAATGATATTTTATTCTATTTCTTAGAAGAAAGAAACTACTACAAACAGAGATAGAAGGTTAATAAAACAACATTATTAAAAGTAATACATAAAGTAATATAAATGTTATACAAAGTAGACGATAGTTATTCTATTTTCTTTATTCGTCTCAGTACATTATCAATTTATTTTTCATAGTGTTATAGGTTAAAATAGAAATAACAAATGGAATTAAGAAGAAATATTTATTAGAAAGGACAATTAGTAGTATCTAGTTTATTTCATACACGCTCTTATAAATAAATATGTATATTATCATTTAAGTCATTTAAGTAATATTCATTTGTTGTAAAAAATATTTAATGTTAATTGAGTAAATGTTATTTTGATTGTTCTGTTTAAATGCAATAACTTCAACAATACTAATATACTTTATATGTTATACTATATTGTTAATAATGTGTTGGTGTTATTGTAATTCAAAGAATATAGATTTGGATTTCTTTATTTTGAAACAATTCTTTTATAAATTTGACTAACAAGAAATTATTTCTCATTGTTTTGAAACACAACAAAAAAAAAACACAGAGATTAAAATACATACAAAAAGTTGTCTACATAGCATATCAAATTTAACTTCGATTTTTGATTGTTGTTGTTCTGTTTTATCACAAATAATATAATTTTCCTTTCAATAAAACAAAAGTCTTTATATCTCTTTTTTTTGGTAACTAAGAACATAATTTTGTTTTACTAATATGAAACTAAACTTACGATAAAAGAATTTCAGTGAAAAGAACAACACAGAACAGATAATTAAAAAACTAAAAAGGTGTCAAAGAATAAATTGATGAAAAGGTTGTCAAAAAAGACAGTAATTCTTATTAAAACACAACTCAGTGAAATAGAAAGAAAAAATACTGACCCACTCCCCGACGAACTATTAAGGAGAGTTGTTCAACAGATTCGTGAAGGCTTACTAACACAATCACTTGATGAATTAATTATTTGTTGTTCGTCTCTTCAAGGAGAATTAAAAATAAAAGAACTAAAAATTAAAAAATTTATAAATGGATTAAATGGAGAAGATACTAAAACATATGAAGATAAAATAATATTATTAATGAAAGTCCGAAAATCCATTTCATCAATTCTTCAACAACTCAACTTTCAAAAAAAAGTAATTCTTACACAAACAACACTCTGTTAATAATTTATTTAATAAGTTAATTTTTTTAAGTAATTTTTTTTTTTGAAAATTAACAATAAGTCAAAAGAATATATTTAAAATTTGAAATTTTCATTCAAATTACTTAAAAGAATGAATGAATGAATTAAAAAAAAGAAGAAAAAAGAACTTGGAATTTTGTTTTTTTTTGATAAAAAAGGATGTTAATTGTTTTATTTATTGCTTATTCATTTGGGAATCTAACTCCTTTATCTGAATGTAAAACAGCTGATATTACTTATTATGAAGGATATGGTGCAGACTCTGTTGCATGTCATTTAGGTACTGATAATTTAGACACAATGTTTAGAGCTGCACCAAACGAAGCGTTTTACCTTTCTAGTCAACAATGTGGAATTTGCTATGAAGCAGTTGGAGAAAAAGGATCAATAAGATTTATGGTAACAGATTTATGTCCTGCTAATGGTAATTCAGATTGGTGTGCATCAGATAAAACACATTTTGACTTAGCTGCTAATGCATTTCCAAAAATTTGTGAGAAAGATACAGGACATTGTGACATTACATACAGAATGGTTGCTTGTGATATAACAGGAAATGTAAAATTATTAACAAAAGAAGGTGTGAGCGAATATTGGTTAGGATTTTATGTAAGAAATTATATCATTGGATTAAAAGGAGTAAAAATATCATTTGGTTCAACTAGTCAAGAATTAACAAGAACATCTGACAATTATTGGGCATATCAAGCAAATGGTAATCCAATAACAACTCCAATTACAGTTACTTTGACTTCTATTGCAGGTGATACTGCTACAATTATAATGAATGATATTATATCAAATAAAATTTATGAAGGAAATAATCAATTTAATATCCCTGATAATACCTTTTTTGAACCAACAACACTTGCTAAAACAAATAAACCTTCCTCTTCTTTAGAGTGTTGTCCATTACCATCTTTTGATATTATCTTCACAGATTCATTCCATTCTTTTTGGACATATACTAACAAAAATTCTGTAACAATTGTTCAAAATAATGCTCATTCAGGAAATGCTGCTCTTAAAGCCTCATTATCTGCTTGGGGAAATTTCCAAATATTAGCTAATTCTCATACCGTTTTAGTTGACATTTATGATTCTGTTGAATTCTACATTAAGTCTAGTACTAATGCAGAGTTTTGGTTCTGGGCTTCTGGAAAGACTGATGCCTCTGCTAAAACTATTTCTACTACAACTGAATGGCAAAAAGTTAGTTTCAAAATGACTGAAATTGGTAATGATGGAACTACTTTTGGAGGAATTGAATTCCAAAGTAAAAGTAATGGCAACATTGACTTTTATCTTGATGACATTAAATTGGTTTTAAAAGAAGGTAGTTGTAATCAAATGTGTTCTGACCATACTCCTTCTAATTGTCCTACAATTATTCCAGACAATAACGATAATAATCATAACGGAAGTGATGTGTTAGCAATAGTTATTCTTAGCATTATTATCACTTTCATTATTTAACAAATTTTTGTGATGTTTTATTTTGGTTTATAAAATCTTTTGACATGATAAGAATGAATCAAAAAATAAAGAGATTTTCTAAATGAATGGTTCTGACGTTGTTCCACGTTTTTTTTTCTTCAGTTTCATTTGATTTTCTTATTTTAATCATTATTATCACAATGACTGCTATTCAAATGTATAACAAAGTCATCCCTTGTGGTAATTCTGTTGAATTTAAGGATATTGAAGATGGAGTGTCTCTCTTTATTAAAAACGTTTGGTGAAATGATTAGATAAGTGAAAGAAGAATTAAACACGTAGATTGCATTGTTCCCAACAAAAGAAGGTGATGGTTATGCTCAGTTATACATTTATGAAAATGAACAGAAAATAATGTTATACCGTTTGGACGAACAAACTATTCCAAATCAAGTTTGCACAATGACACTGATTGAAAAAGGAAAATCAAAAGAATTGTTTATTGAAGGAAAAGGTCAAGTTCAATTAACAGGGTATTTAGTTTAATTGAGTGGTTAGTGTCTGATTATGATGTTGCATAGTTCGTAGGATTGATAGAAATAGTCATATCAATAGAATTACTAAGCAAATAATCTTCCACTACGTCAAATACCAAAACACACTCTTCTGTATGAGTGTCATTTTTGTGAAGTGGAATAAATAAAAAGAGTTTTTTCTTTTTTCAATATTTATTATTCTATGTTATATAAAACGAAAATGTTTTTATTTAAGAATATGTGAATTAGAAATACATAAAGAATATTTAAAGAAGCAAGAAGTAGTTTGACAATAGATTTATCTTTTTATTTGAAACATCTAGTAAATTGCATTTATGTATTTTCTACATTTTGATAAGGTATAGCTTCTCCTAATCAGTGATTAGTATTAATAAGATGATTTAACCAAACAACTAAGTTTTTATTTCCAATGTATTTAAAACTATTCGAAGTAATAAATTAAAATTTAATTCAATTTAATGTATTTGAATAATAAGCATATTATTTATAAATGTTATATTACTTTTATAAATCTGAACTGTCTAATAACCTATTATTAGTTAAGGTTTATTTCATTTTTTATTCAAAGAATATTGATTAATTATGACATTCTGTACATCTCATTCATATTTTAATCATTGAATGATATAGTTCATATTGAAATATCATTTTTAATAAGTTGTGAGTTATTTTGCTTGGTTTTATTTTAACATCCTTTTTAGTATCAAATTTCTTTTTATCATAGAATAAAATTTTATAACCTTTTTAAAGATTTTAAACAAACTCCTTTCTATTGTCCTTGATGTTTTATGCATCTATAATTAAAATATAGAAATTAAAAAGTAAGTATAATATAAGTTGAAAATAACATATATATTCTGAATTGATTTCTAAAAAATAAGCTATTCTTTTTAAGAATGACACAACAAATACTATAAGACTATCATTTTGTTTATTTATGAAATATATTAAAATTAGAATATTTTATTTATATGAATTTTTCATTCAAGTCTAAGGAAGAAAATATTAAATGATAAGTTATAGCAAATTTAGAAAAAGTTAAGTAATTATTCATCAACTTTGAATGAAAGAAGCACTAAATAATATAATGAATACTTTTTAATTGAATAAATATTTTTTTAAAGTAAGTGTTTAACACTTAACAAACTTCCTTGGTATATTTATTTGTTTTCTTGAGACTAACTCACACATACATTCTTGAAAGCATTCATTCTCAAAAAAATTGACTTTTCTTTGAATATTGATATTCCCTAATATTACATATATCATATATTTGTATGCACTTAATTCTTCTTTCTCTTTTAAATATGTTAAACAAGTTACTTTGTATTATATTAATATTTAAATATTCTGCTGCAATTAAATATTTTATTATAAGTATTATAACTATAAAATTGTTTAATATTATAAATATTCATCTTGAATATTGATTTAAATGAAATTGTTCACATTGCATTGAAATATTTTACCACTGATTTCTTAATTAATAATATCAAATCAAATAAACTAATGAAAAACAATAAAGAATATTAAAGAATATCAATTGAATTAAGAAGGTAATTAGAATAGTGGCAACATCTATTTTGATATTTCCTATTTCTCTCACTATTTATTTATTTGGTTCATGATAAGTAAAAATAAAAGTAAATTTGAAAAAAATAAAAATAAAGAAAAATTTAGATTTAATAACAGAAATTCATAAACAGTAATAACACAAATAGATGTTATAAAAAGAAATAAATTAAAAAATTACTGAATAATAAAAATAAAAAATAGAAAAAAGACGATAAAAAAAATGACTAATAAAAATAATCCCGAAATAAAAGGGAAATTATAAGGGAGGAATGTCAGATTGAAAAATGATTAAACCAATAAAACAAGTTAAAAATGGAAAAGATAAACTAATAAAAACCATCTGAATAACATTAAAATATCATGGCTTTCGTGATTAACTTGTCTCTTTTCTTCCGTATTTGGATTGCTTTTATGGGTCTTAGTTTGTTTTTTTATAACCTTATAAAATAATATGCTCATATAAACTTCATACTCAAAAATTATAACAAAAAACACTAATAATGACAAGTGATTTTCTTAACTGGTTTGATTCATCTTTGTGCAAACCCATTTGGCTCCTTACATGTTAAAGGCATTGTAACACAAGGAGCAGCCGTTGTTTCTATCGTTGCTCTTTTACTTCTTCTTACTGGTATTTGTACCCTTGTTTCACCATTCTTTGGTTTTATTCCATTCCCAATTATTAGAAAATTCGGTAGTGCATTCTCACCATATGTTGTTATTCCATGGTTTGTTGTTCATGGATTTGTTTGCCTCTTTATGACTGGTGTATTTGGTTGTATCGTTGGTATCTTTTGTTTCATTACCGTCATCATTTCAGTTATTGGTATTTTCTTCAGTTTCTATCAATCAAGCGATGACGAATAATCAAATTAATTCAAGTTTATTATAACTTTTTCAATTCTTCTATTAAAAAACGTTACTTCTTCTCCTCCCTTTAAAATCTTTTGAAAAAAATAATATGTTTTGTAGTTGTTTATCTTTAAAATAATTCTATATCAAGACTAACAAGAAAACAAAGAATAAATAAAGTTAGAGGTTTATTCAATTTTTTTTACTAAGATAATAAAAAGGGGGTAAAAAAATAAAAAGAAGAACTTAAAAAAAAGAAAGACATGGCACAAAACGTAATCTTAAGATCATCAGATGGAAAAGATTTTACTATTTCTGAAGAAGCAGCAAAACAATCAGGACTTGTAGAATCACTCATGAAAGATAGAGAAAATGCTGATGAACCAGTTCCTATTTTAAAAGTTGAAGGAGCAGTATTAGAAAAAGTCATTCAATGGTTATTATTCCACAACGAACATCCATTGATGTATCCAGACTTTGTAATTGGAGATAGAGACAAGAATGCTGATCTTCATCCATGGGATGTTAAATTCTGTGATGACTTAGAAAAGGATATGTTATTTGAAATGTTGAAAGCTGCAACATTCATGAATATTGATATGCTTGTTGAAGCAACCGCCAAGACAATTGCAAAGAATTTAATTGGGAAAACAGTTGAACAAATGCGAGAATATCTTAATGAAGAGAATGATTATACACCAGAAGAAATTGAAGAACTTAAGAAGAAATATGCTGATTAATTTATCTTTTTTACTAATTGTTGTTTTATTTAGTCATTCAAAGTATGTGTTTCGCAGGTAATGTTTGGAAATAATTTTGTCATAAATAATACTTGACTATTTGTTTACAACTTATTGAATTGTATGTTGTTTTATTGTTCATTATGGTAAAAATGATTTAAATACACTTCATTTCTTTTACCATTAAACATTTACTACCGTTTGATTAATGGTGTATCATAAAAGACTGTAAAGAATGAATATTATATACACATATTCATTGATATTAGTAAAGAATATATGAAGTTAAGAGATGAGATAGACATCACTGAATTTAATGAAATAATTGGTTAAAATATATGAGAATAAATAAACAAAATATATCATATTCATATTTTATTAAATTCATAGAATAACTCTTATTTTAATATGAAATGAGAATAATGATTGAACATTGAAA